ATTTATTTATTAATTATTAATAATCTATAATATTAAGATTATAGTATATTATCTAGTAAGCTAGCCCCTAGCTTATTATCGTATTCCTAGTAAGTTAACAGCTTACTCTTATATCTAGGTAAGCTATTACGTACTTTACTTAGTAGGTCCGTTTCTTATCTTATCGTATTTCCCGACCGCAGGGTCGTCAACTCGCGGCCACCCTGTTTCCTTAGTTATTATACTAATATAAGTCTTAGTCTTTCTAGTATTTTAATTTTATCTCTTTATCGATAGATAGTAGATTACTATCTTAATAGACTAATAGGTATTATAATAAAAAGGGATTATATATAGAGCGACTAGGAGTCTAGTTACTACTATTATTAGGACCTTACTTAGGGGTATATCAAGGGTATTATAAAAGGTTATCTCTCTATTACTATCTGTCTATAGGCTAATACCCTTATATATAGAGTGGAGTGCCTCGGACCTAGGACTCTAGCGGAGTCTTAGTCCGCTAGGAGTCCTGGGCCAGAAGCACCTTCCACGGCAGGTGCCTCTAATAGATTATCTTTTTAGAGTACTAAGAATAAGAAAGAGGCCTATTACGAGGTACTTATAGGGGACTCTTATAGACCTAATAGCTAGTATACCTTAGAAGGTGCTTATGGGGGGGTATTAGCGGTACTCACCCAGGGCTTCCAGGGCATTCACTTAATGCTATTCACCTATCGCTAGGTGGCCTATGCCCTGGCGCCTCCTATAGCTGAGTTCTAGGCACCCTCCTGCCTGCAGAATAGCTTCCTAATGCAACACCTTTCTTCTGAGCCCTTGACCCCCAACACAGCACAGTGTGGATGCCACGGCGGCAGAGCAGAGCTGGTCAAGAGACAACAGTTCCTTCGGCATACAGGAGGAAATTTCAACTCAGCCTTCATCGTCTTCTCGTCGCACACCAGAGGCAGTGACGTCGGTCTATCTAAACCACTCCTCTTACAGACTTCGGAGGCCGTGACTCGGTGTGCTGGTGTGAGCGATTGCGTGATCCCCCGCCCCCGATTTGCGAATAGCTTCGAGTTTTGTTTCCAGCAGTTGGCGATCGGCATGCTTCGCAATTGAAGACATGTCTGTACCCGCGTTGAACATGGCCTCGTGTCACCTGCTGCAACATCTGACGTCCACCTCACTCATGAAAAGTCCTTTGACTTGCTTGGTCAGCCCGGTGAAGCACATGACGGGTTCAATTTGAGTTAGTACTCAGCAGAACCGGTATCCATGCTATTGCGGATATTTCCGGTTCGCGTGCTTTGCCTCACTGTAGCTCTAACCTTCATGTAGGGATACATTTGAGCCAGGCTGGCGTTCACCCATCGGATGCAGAATACGGTCACCAGTCAGCATCTTCCGCCTCCAAACGACGGAGATGGAGTTCGACGTCGACTGCGGGGGAAGCTTGTATGAACGAGCCCTTCCATATCGCGTCGCAGGCGACCAAGACATCCAAAGCTCCCTACATCCTCGGGACGAGTGTCATCATCTCATGCTTGGACAGCTAAACAACCCCAGTGCTTAGAATCCACCTGCAGAGCCGATTTTCCACGTAGAGCGATTGGTTAGCAGCTCCATGCGTCCTTGGTCACCCTAAGCCCTGGCTTATCACCCAGATTTACCGAATATCATCACATGCCTAGGCAGTGAGCTCATAGCCAATGGACCGGTCTTACCGCGGTTTCGCACTGATGACCCCGGCGTCTTCAGCAGAAACCCAACTCTTGGAAGCATCGAGCAAGCAATCCTACGTACGGCCAGAGGATATGCTTACAAGGCTACACTTTACATTATTCAGGTGATCGAATCTCATAGCTAGAATTATAGCCGCGCCCTGGTTGATTCGCAATCAAGATGTCGTGCATCTCTACGCGGACAGCTGAATCAAGCTCCGAGAAACCATGGAAGACACGCATACGGTAAGTCCCAGTGCCCTGAATATTTGACCCGTGCTTCCTGAAACTCAACAGAACACGGCCGAGGGCAAGCTGAGAGACTTCTTCCGAGGTCCTCTCGGGTCTTCTCCGATGGTGAGAACTTATTCACAGAAGAGGCCCACCGGGAAAACCCACATGATATCGAGGAGGCGCGTTGGGTGTGGAACTCACGACAAGATGATTGACTTGGCTTTGTGCTATGGTTGAAATATTATCCAGTCTCGCTGGCTTGTCCAGCCATGACCTTTTGCCTCAGTACTGTATAATGTGTGAGAGAATATTGGTGAAAGGCGGAGGAGGGTGAGGGCGTGGCGCAATAGCAAGGAAGACGTACCGTCTTCAACACTTCTCACATTGGCAGTTTTGCGTTGCACAATAACTTCGAGGTCCTGTATGTTCTGGGCCAATTGCTGTATTTTTGCGTTGTAAAACAACTCAGCTGCGCTGCTCTCCTAGTGTCGAGTTAATCAAATGCTTTCAAAGCCGAGTCGAATGCAAATGCTGTTGCAGTGAAGTATACCTTTTCGACATAAAAGCCGGTTCCTACGTCAACAATTACGCGACCGGGGTCCGAAAGTTCGCCTCGCACATAGAGTGAGTTGGTCAAAGGAACAAGTACAGATCGCTCGCCTAGTCTGCGATGAGTATACTTCGAGTGACATGTGCATGAGCAGGAGGGAGTAGGACAGTGTCTCTAACTCACCTTCAGTCGATCCAGGGCGCGTCTTGACGATCCGCTGACATTCCTTGAATTTCCCCTGAACTGCATGCAGCTGGGCGAAAGACTGCGTTAAATGCTCAAGCTCCTCTTCGATCTGCTTCTTCACCTGGCCAAGTTGTTGAACATCCAAAGTGGAGAGATTTACTGCATACTTTGTCAATACAGAACATACTGGAGAAGACTACAGGGTATGGATACCTGTCTCACCACCTTGTGAAGCCATCTTCAGTTTGTCGACGATTATGTATTGCACTGATAACAGCGCCTCGCCTAGTCTGCCTCTTTTCTTCCTGGCACAAACGCTGTCACCGAGTGAGAACGAGAATTTGATGACTCAGGGAGACTACATGCGGGCCAATCGTGTGTGTCATTGTTGGTCGATAGCTATCCCTACCTACCTAGGCGGAGGTGCAGTAGCACACTAAAGGGGCTATGCTTCAAAGACGAAAACCGAATTGCTAGCGAGGCTTGGATCAATAATACATGGAATCTACAGCTGCCACAGTAATTCAGAAATTCTCTGCAATATATCCGACGGCTGGACGGTCTCTTTTATGCCCAACCGGCGACACTGCAACTCTATGTTCCCGGTTTTCTTCCAAACTTGCCCCAGCACGACCACAATTGGGTAGCCGGTGAGGTCGGCATCTTTCAGTTTCCATGGGAGCGAGACAGGTCGATCGTCCAGAAGGACGTCGGTGGTATGGCTCAAGCCATGCACGACGTCGTCGTAGATCTGAACCGCCTGCGCTTCCAGGCCGTCGGCAAAGACTATTTCAACCTCGTAAGGCGAAATGGCACGAGGCCATTGTAGGCCAACTGGGTCAGCGAAGTGCTCTGCGACAGCACCAATCAGACGAGACACTCCAATGCCATGGCATCCCATCTGTATGTGGGTTGATGCCCTCGCAGCTGATGTATCCGCACTTTGCGAATCTCCCTGCGAAGTCGTTGGGAGTGCAATACGGGCACCAAGAGGTTCTGAATAGCGAGTACCCAGGTGAAAAGTGTGACCGACCTCGAGTGCTTCCTTTACCTCAAGGGTCCCAGCCTCGCATTTGGGGCAATGTTGAGCATCCATGGCGCTGTCATTTGCGGGCTGCTCGGCGATATCTGAATTCACCGCGAACTCGCAGTTGTTACACTTCATTATCAGATCTTCGCCGATCGGGGAGGTGAAATGGTACTCGTGACTTAAATCTCCGCCCATGTCGCCTGACCCAGCCCTGGCTTTAACAACAGGAAGGCCAAGCGAACCGAAGAACGATGCATATGCACCTTGCACCTGCTCGTATGTCTGTATGGCAGCAGATGTATCCACGTCAAACGTATATAGATCTTTCATGGTGAACTCTCGAGTCCGCAGCAAACCATGGCGGGGTCTAAGTTCGTCTCGGTATTTACGAGCTGACCTTGAGTCAGTTTCTCCATTCACCAACAGCATCCGGAAAGCTACTTACTCGTTTGATATAGGCGGAGTGGGAGCTCTTTGTATGACTTGACAGACTGAGCCACCAGTGAAGTCACCTCTTCTTCATGCGTAGGAGCAAGCATGTAGTCAGCTCCCCTGCGGTCCTGGAAGTTGAAAAGCTACATACCCAATCAGATATTCAAGACAAGTCCTGGCCGACATAAACAAGTCACATACCTCTGAACCTAGTTTCTCGTAGCGACCGCTCTGTTGCCATAGCTTCTTGGAGGTGATGGAAGACAAGGCAACCCGGGATGCGCCTGGTTAAGTTAGCTGTATGGTGCTTTGGGTGGCAATCCATTTGCGTTACCCACCCAGGCTTTGCATGTATTTGTCAATCAGAGACTCTAGTTTGCTTTGGATGCGGTAGCCCATAGGAAGAAGATGAAAGATGCCTGAATGCGACTAAGGTATCGTAGTTTAGCGGTACTCGATGGAGAGACATGAACGGAAGGGGGCAAACTCACCTGGCGAAGGAGTCCAGCTCTGATCAACTTATCGTGAGCTCCTACATCATAGTATTAGTATGCGTAGCCACTGTTGTGTTTTTCAGTGAGCGCACTTTCTGTCCCCCCTGCGGTCCGTCCACCTGTAGGAGTCCACATGGCTGTTAGGCGCTGGCGTTGGTCTGCACCAGCATGACACTGATGATAGGAACGAGTGGAACCCCGAATCAATGCTCTCGAGAAAGTAGACGTTTCCACGTTTGGTCTGAGAGGAAACATCGTGCAAAAGTGTTACGCTTGGCGTGACTCTGTAACCTTAAACGGAGAAGAAGATGCCACACGAGTTTGTTGAAAGGCAAGGAGAGGATACACCCGCGCGATTGAAGAAAGTTCGAGTGAGCCTTGCCAGCAACAGTTGCTCCCGGTTACCGCACGCCAAGTATTCCCCAAGGCACAAAGAGATCGTCTGGTTCAGCCATGGCTCCGGGTTGGGCCTCAAAGTGGTAGCTTTGGTAAGATGAGCGTCTCACAAATACAACGCGCGATATGGAAGGCCCGAGCTTCTGAACACCCTTTATTTACTGGGCGACCCATGTGGCTTTAGTGCATGGATTATACCCCACTACTACATGGTGCCCCGCTAAAAAGTTCTGGTTGTCGAAACTTTTTCCCATCTGCAGGGCGCCCTACATCACCCAAGCCATCCTCGTCACCTAGTTGTGATAACGACCGGTCAAGAGCACACTGTGCTTCGTTCACGCTGTCACATATCTCCTGAGTACGTGGAGGTCACGGCGAAAGAACGCCCTTGAAAATGTCCGGCGCAAAGGGGCCCCGGGCGGCTGACCTGAAGCCTCAACCCCAGCAATCGGCTGGCAGGGCACTTTCAGATACAACCTCCCCTAACGATCGCCAACCTCCGAAGAGTGGCAAGGCAAGTAAAAGAAAACACCAGCAAGACGAGAAAGCCTCAAACACGGGTTCCAAGAGGAAGCGGCCGACCACGCAACAAAGCTCTTCGGCCAAACCTGTTGATGCGGTTGGGCACGGTGGCGCTACCCAGAGAACGGATGCTTCAAACCTCCAATCAGCGCTTTTGGACGAGATATTGGCATTGGGGGGCAATGAAGAGGATCTCGAACTCATTGGAGACCTGGAATCCGAATCGGAGACAGAGGGCTTAGCTCTCGACAATCGGTTCACGGACGACAGTAAATTGCGCGAGGATTTACGGGCTCTCGCCTCTCAGCTTGGGCTTGAGGGGCTTGACCCAAACGTTGACGAGGAAGAGGCTTCCGAGATCGATGAGACCCGAGAAGACTTCAAGCCGGGCGAGCCACAGGATGAAACACGGGCAGCTTCGTCGACAACTGTATTCTCACGAGACACGCATGCTTCAGCAAAGAAGGACAATGGCCTTAGGAAGCAGTTCGTGAGCTCTGTCCCTCCCTAATATATTGACGCAAAACATTGACCATTCTTCTTGTCGCAGAAATTCGAACCTCGCGCAGACTGGCACGCAGTACAACTAAGCCCTTTGCCCGAACCAATCTCGGATGAAATCGACCCCTACATTGGTGCTGTTGAGAGTCTCAAGGCCCACGCCCGTGTACTCCTCGATGATGACGCCAACGCATACAGCAAAAGCGTCTTGGCATCCTCATCACACAAATTCCTCTCCACCATCATGGCATCTGGAACACTGACGGACAAGGTGTCGGCCCTCACCCTAGCCATTCAGGAATCTCCCCTCCACAACATCAAGGCATTTGATGCGCTGATGAGCCTCGCTTCTAAGCGTAGTCGCGGGCAGGCCATTGGTGCCTTAGGCGCCCTCGTGGATTTGCTCGGCCCAGGCCTCATTCTGCCCTCTAGCCGCCGGCTAAAAACGTTTCACTCCCAGCGAGGATTGTTAGGGGTTCTCCAGAAGCACAACATTCGCCGTTGGACTACGTCACAACAGCTTCCCGGCGCACTGACAGAAGCCCACCTTATTGGATGGGCCTACGAAGATTGGTTGAAGGCTACGTATTTTCAAATCATTCAGTATCTTGAGGTTTGGTGCGGGGACGAAATCGAATACTCACGAACACGGTCCCTGGATTTCGTCTTTGCGCTCCTCAAAGACAAGCCCGAGCAGGAAACGAATCTCTTAAGACTTCTTGTCAACAAGCTTGGTGATAGAGATCGCAAAATCTCATCAAGGGCCTCGTATCTTTTACTGCAACTGCAAAATTCCCACCCAGGAATGAAGCTTGTGGTCATCCGGGCTGTTGAACAGGAAGTACTGCTCCGCCCTGGCCAAAGCTCTCGTGCCAAGTACTACGCTGTCGGTACGCTCAACCAGACAATCCTCAGTACTCGCGACCCTAAGACTGCGGAAACTCTCTTAAGCTGCTACTTTGAGATATTTGTCACCTTGCTGAAGGGCTCCGTGCTGGGACGAGAAGACGCACCCAAGGATGATTCTACTTCAGGAGTCCGTGGTCGAAGTCAACGTGGCAAACCAAAGACGGTGACACCTCCAACTGAGCGTGACGCGGTTGAGAAGCTTGTCTCGGCCGTCCTAACCGGCATTAACCGTGCTGCCCCTTTCCTACCAGCCAATGATCCAATGTAAGTATTCGTTGCGTATTGTCTAGTTTGCTTGTTTAGTTTTACTGACCGGACTCTGTAGAATGGAGGCACACATTGACACCCTTTTCCGAATCGCCCACTCGGCAAATTTCAACACTAGTGTACAAGCCCTTATTCTGATTCAGCAGTTGTCATCAACACGCCATGTCGCTCATGATAGGTTCTATCGGACTCTTTATGAGTCCCTTCTCGACCCACGACTTACTACATCATCCAAGCAGGCACTATATCTTAATCTTTTGCTTCGCTCACTGAAAGAAGACGTCGACACTCGTCGCGTCAAGGCATTCGTCAAAAGGATGCTACAGATTTTAGGCCTCCACCAGCCCTCATTTGCATGCGGGATATTGTACATCGTACTTCAGCTTCGCCTGCAGTTCCCAGATCTTCGGGCACTACTTGAAGATGCTGAAGAACATGGGGACGCCGAGGTTGCTGCATCCGCCACACCTGGGGACCTATCCAACGTCGTCACCTCGCCCACAGACTATGATGGCCGAAAGAGAGACCCGGAACATAGCAATGCGCAAAATAGTTGCCTCTGGGAAATTGTAAGTTTTTTTTTCCTAACCATAATCTTGCATAGGCGCTGACTAGCTTGTACAGGCACCGCTATTGTGGCATTTCCACCCTTCAGTGCCAGTTTTAGCGCTCAGCGTCATTGATAGCGATGAAACCGTACAGAAACCAGACCTGGAGAGCCACAGCCTGATCCGTTTCTTAGACAAGTTTGTCTACCGCAATCCGAAAGCGACAGAGGCAAACCGGGGTGTCTCCATCATGCAACCACTCCAAGGATCATCGGATGCATCCAATATATACCTTGGAAAGAAGCATGGGGCGTCAACCACAACCATTAACCATCCCAACTTCTGGAATAAGAAGATTGAGCAGGTTGCAGCCGACGACGTCTTCTTCCATCATTACTTCGAGCATACCGGCAAGCAGTCGAAGTCGCAGGTACCATCGCGCATCGAACCGTTAGGAGACTCGGACAACGAAGATGAGGATGAAATCTGGAAGGCGCTTACAGCATCGCATCCTGATGGGCCCGTTGATGAGAGCGATGGATCCGATCTTGATCTCGACGGTTTTGACGACGACAGTGATGATGCTCAGGGCGCCAGCGATCTCTTTGCTGATGAATCCCTCAGCGAAGGCGACGACGCAAATGAGGGTGAAAGTGATATCGACACCGACGACGACGACGTAAACGGCGGGGTTGAGATGCTCGGCCCAGTGAACCAGGCTTCTGACGAGGACAGCAACGCTGATGTTGACTCCAGCGACAAGAAGAGGGAGTCTGAGACTAGGTCCGCTCGTCGGAAGAGGCTCAAGAGTCTTCCCATGTTTGCCTCTGTAGATGATTACGCGGACATGTTGGGCGAGGAGGAGGACATGTAAGCTAAACTGTGCATCAATTGCAGGAGCCGGGAAGGCGAGAATGAATAGACTATGTTCGAATTCAATAAGGATATATGTGCATGGCAAGAATAGTCATTCAGGCTGACGTCGACCTTGAGGTGTTCACACGAGAATGCACGTGTCGCAAAATGCATGACTTCAATCCGAGACTGGCTACCACTGTGGTATGACGAGTGCTTGTACGTACCAAATAGGTGGCTTGGCGAGTGCAGGGAGCCGAGGCATTGGAAAGTAAGGACCGATAAGATGTCTCGATAAGACAAGTTGCGGCAGACGGGCCCACTCAAGTACAGGTTAGCATCTTGTTGCCATCCGCGGAGTTGACCTCGCCCTCCGTGTTGTATTCCAAGTTCGAACTCACAATCGATATCATAAAAGCTCCAGGGTATGCAAAGATGCTACGAAGAGCTTTGATTAAGCCCTGGCTTTCGAATGGTTCAGCTGCTAAGTCCATCATATGCGGACCCCAGACACCAGTCCCGGCTGCGCTGGGTGTTCGCTACTATCAGTCGCTCGGGACAGGAGGTAAGTTCGTGATTCAAGTCATCTCCCTCGATCCTTCCCCATTGCACAACGCGTTATGATTACGGATATCACTGACCTGTCGAAAAGCCTCAGGTAATATCAATGCACAAGGGCCACCGAAGTCGCGATCCCGACTACGCAAAATCCTGAACATTGGTTTCTTTGGATTCGCATTCGCTAGTCTGGGCTTTTTCGTTGCTGTCAGCCCCGCCCTTCTGAACCTCTCGGCCATAGCGCAGTCTGCAAACAAAAAACCCCAGACGTTTGTACCAGAGAATGAAGAAACAGCTGTTGTGGATGCCACAATCAACAACCACCCGCTCGCGGCTGCTTTACGAAGCAGGCCAGAAATGACAGAATCGCGCCCACATATGAAGTTTCCAGAGGTTTTCCGCAAACAAAACCTCACCGGAGGCACGCTTCTTGGGCCCGGCCGACTGACTGTGCCCCCAATCATGTGGTTGGAAGAAGGTGGCAATTCCTCGGTGACTATCATGCATCTTGGGACGGATATGTGTGGACACCCAAGAATCGTACATGGAGGACTGTTGGCGACTCTTCTTGACGAAGGTCTCGCCAGGTGCTGTTTCGATGCTTTACCCAGCAAGGTGGCTGTCACAGCCCGACTCGAGGTCAACTACAGAAAGCCCACACCAGCAGGCACATTCGTGGTACTTCGGGCAGAAACCCAGCGAGTGGAGGGCAGAAAGGCGTGGGTCGCAGGCCGTATCGAGACCTTGGTGGACGAAACCAAGGGCGAAAAGCCAGTCGTTCTTGTCGAGGCAAATGGTCTTTTCATCTCACCAAAGGCAGGCTTCTCCACGGTAGGACGGCGCCCTCACCCTCGAAGCTTGAATGCTGAGCAACCGACGCTAATGGTCTCCTGCAGCTGCTGTCCAAATTCACGTGATGCTCTAATTGCGTACTGCAGGCTTACTCGCACAGGGCGTATTGTATTGGACTTAGAGAGAGCAAGATGTCATTTAGAAGCTGTGAGACGGCCGGCATCGGCTTTGCTAGCGCGCCCCGTCTACAAAACTCCCCTCTTGCGCCATCGCCCAAAAAAAGCTCTCCCATTGACCTCCACCAATTAGCACAACGGCGTCCCGCCATCGCCCCTCCCACTCTTGACGTGACCGAGGGGTGGGGCTTTGAGACCACCCAGTTAAGGCAGTGAGCTGTTACCTCACCAGCTAGGCAACATGTAAAAGAGGGCTCTCTGAGAAGTGTGACCATGCAGACATCTTCTTCGCATAGTAGTCAATCGCATTGAAGTCGACCCATATTGTCTGTTTGTTGCTTCCCACACGACTTCCACTACCTTATCAGCCAAGAACTCTACGCAGAGAAACGTCTAAAGAATTCAAGAAATCATCATGGCTACGTATGACGCACGACCCTATTCTAGTAGGAGCGGTTACTAAGTCGCGTGCCGTTGTCACATCCTCACTTCGTTGATCCATTTCACTGACAGGCTATACCATCATTCAGGAACATCACCTGGCATGCCTCCCTGTCTCGCCAAGAGCGAAATGAGCTCCGCGGTCAGAAGGGCTTCACCATCTGGTTGACAGGTCTGTCGGCTTCGGGCAAGTCGACAGTCGCGACTGCTCTTGAACAGCACCTTATCCATCTCGGGCTTGCTGCCTACCGTCTGGACGGCGACAATGTGCGCTTTGGCCTGAATAAAGACTTGGGGTTTTCGGAAAAGGACCGCAACGAGAACATTCGTAGGATTGCTGAGGTGAGCTTGTCCTGGACTGTGCTCCTAACATGGCCACGTCTGAAGCTAATTCACGACAATACTTGCTCAGGTTGCAAAGCTGTTTGCGGATTCCTCTACCATTGCGATTACCTCCTTTATTTCTCCGTATCGCGCCGATCGCGACACCGCACGCGAGCTGCACGCCCAGGCCAGCCAGGGCGAGGGTCATGCCATCCCTTTCATCGAAGTATTTGTTGACGTTCCTCTCGAGGTCGCCGAGCAGCGGGACCCCAAGGGTCTATACAAGAAGGCTCGTGCTGGCGAGATCAAGGAATTCACCGGCATCACCGCACCCTATGAGGAGCCACTGAACCCCGAGATTCGTATCCATACTGATAAGTCCTCTGTCGAGGAATGCGTCAGCGAGATTACGCAGTGGTTGAGCTCCAAAGGTCTAATCGCTACGAAGCAGCCGGAGGCTTGAAGTCTTTGCCAGCTTTGTTCGCCTCAGCCCCCTCATCTCGTTTGGTGTTATAATCATCGCAAAGGTTGCCGCACCGCATGGACTAGCAAATTGTTTTGCGCCAAGTACAAACGGATTGAACGGCATAGGAAGTCGACGGACGTCGATAATTGATATATTCATCTTCAATACAATGCCAGGTCACTAGTGTGTAGAACAAGAGAGCAGCCAGCATAAGCCGCTTGATCATTGCTTGATGCGGCCGTCTCAAGGCAGCTCAAACTCGTAGTAGACGTAAGCCGTATACTCAGTGCCGTCGGCACCTCCAACGCCGGCAGCAGCCATCTCAGATGACAGTGCTGCATCGTCTTTGGTCACCCTGCCACGCTTATCTCTTCCGAAGGCGTTGCCACCTAGGTAAGAGTAATTGGAATCAAGCGCAGCCCTGACCTTGGACGACAACTTTGGCGTGGTCTGAAATCATGCTCGTCAGCATATTGGGCAGCAAATTGGACCGTGAGTGGCAAATTTCACTTACTTTGACCAGAGCCGAGACGTAGTCCAGTGGAGGCCGTAGCGAAGAACAGCCTCGACAAAAACGCGTAGGGTCAAAACATGCAGCCAGATCATAACGCTCTCGCTCCACCCAGTCCTACCCATACGAAGAGCCTCACCCCAAACCTTCTTCTCCTCGCGCGCGACTCGGTCGAGTTCCCGCTGCTCCTCTTCCTTGCCGCCCTCAACATATTTATACTGACGCGGGGTCCACTTTTGCTCGCGACATTTCTGTAGGAATTCGGTGCTCGTCTTCTTGAAGGTTGTCACGGCAAAAAGAACGAATTCGTCGTCCTGTGCTACTACCACCGCTGAGCGTGGGACGACCATGGGCGCCAATGTCTCGTAACCCTTCTGGAAGTCCTTTTTAGCGTTGGAAGGCACGACAATCAAGTGTGTTTCCAAGTACTCTGAATCTTTGACAAGCAAGGCCGGGTCGACAACGGGTGTGAGAGATTTTGTGGAGAGGTTGCCCGTTTGCTTGCGCTGCAAGGTCGTGAAGTTGGTCTTGACCGAGTTATACTGGTTGAACTTTGTCTTGACATCGTTGTCGCTCGTGACAAGTTCCTGTGAGCAAGTTTCAGTACGAACGAATCAAGAATGTATGTCATGTAATCGACCCAGCCGCCCCTACCTTCTGCAGAATATCCACCAGTTCACCCAGAGGCCTATCGGCACGATATCTGACCTTGTTCCAGACAAAGGAGTTGATGTAATGATCTGTGGGTTCTATGAAACAGAAATGTCAAAAACAGTCGGTGTAGGTTGTGGAATAGACATATCCTCTTCGAAGCCAATATATTTGAAGTACTTACTGTCGTTGACCATCTTCTGCTGGCTGATCTTGTCATCGTCTCCATCCAAGATCGTACGCAGGGAGTCGGCTACTTTGGCTACCACAGTCTCACAAGCTGCCTCCAACTTAGTCAAGTCATCTGCTTGCTGCACTAAAGCATCAAGAGTCCCGATCTTGAAGTCGGGTATGGCAAAAGCCTGCGTGGAACCGTTGTCGGGAGAAATTTTTGCTGACAGCTCTGATAAAGCGCCATTTTTGCTGCTTGAGTCAAATATACCCTGAGGGAGAGACACCAGGAGGTATTTGGTTGGCATCTTTGCTGTCGTTCTCGTTGTCACGCGATTTGTTCAACAATTGGCCATGCGCAATGCGTGATTGCGACGCAACCCAGTTGAAGGGTAACTTGGCAACAGATAAGTTAGGCTCCGGCGAACCACTGATGGTTGAAAGCAATGAACGCTGTGTCTTTTCGCGAAATGTCTTATGGAAAACTCGAATCGATGCTACATTAAGTGACGGATTAGCAGTCTGTATTTCGTCGACACGATGCATCTTTGTTGGTTGTACTCAGCTACCTTACAAAGGGGAGTAACTGACAGAATGGGACTGTTCAAGCTTAGAATAGTTGTTCGGCTGATTCCGCAGAAGCCCTTTGTGCAAGGAAATACGGGATCTGGTTATTCGAATATAATGGCATGCCAGGTGAAGGCACGTGAAACGAAGTGTCGTTGTTGACTACGGAGTAAGGTAGCTCCAGTCTGGAGACGCAACGCCAGTGCGGGCGGTACCATAGAACTGACTGCTGCGGGATGACGACGGAGCTCAGAGGGACTCGGGTGGAGCCTGATTGCTTCATAGACCAACCCACCCCACCCCACCCGGCACCAAGTTGAAGAAGCCTGCATTACCTAAGACCTGGAGTACACCCGTGTAGGTACCTATTTCTGATTATTTCCGCCCACATGACCAGCAGTACTTCGAAACTCTTAGTACGTAGCTAGTAAGCCGCCTCGCTTGTTCATGGGATCTCGCATATAATGCCATCCACCAAAACACACGCGAACAAGTCAGCTGGATATTGTCGACGACCAACGATCTCACTAACATTGGCATTGGCTTCGTATCGTATTGTGGCCCAACAATGATGCCCAGTCTTTGCCGACTTGAAAAGTCGCTGTTCTGTCTGCGTAAGCAACGAGCTGGCTCTGAGCATCACCACGACCGTAAGACAACTCGCCCGTGGATGATGCGCCCTGCCTATCAAGTGGCCGCTCATCCGTTTGCTGTGAACGAGGATTGTCGTATCATCCACCGACCGAGCGCACTGTTTGATACGGTTGCACACTCCCCGAAGGACGGTTGAGTGCTAGGCATAGTACAATCGCCTGATTGACCAGACCTTCATTGATAGCCTGAGCAATGGCATCGCAACCTGGTATGCGCTCAGCTCTGGTTAATGACATAACGACCGGATATTGTGCTCATAGTTATCTTATCCGCCATCTTTTAGATCTTGTCACATTACACTGCGCGCAACCGCAGCAACCCATCTCGACCGATGTAGGCCTTGCCTCAGCCAGATCGACCCCAACACTGACTACGGAAACCGGTTCTCCCGTACAGCAGCTTAGCCGGCATCATGGTAGCCGCGTCCGAAGTGCGATTCCGAGCAAGCTCATAGGCAAAACTGATGCGAAGAAAGGCAACTTTGGTGTCATGGTCATTGATTTCGATACACAAACGGCGGCAGCTGAGCGCAGCGCTGCGGCTAAACGCACGAGTGAAAGTACTGCCTTGCGTGCAAAGATCGCCTTTCAGCATGGTTACGTCCCATTATCCCAGAGGAAACTCCAACAAGATTGCCCTTCTCTCGCCGGGCCGCCTGCTGGTCCAACGCGCCGCCTGTTCGTGGCGGCGGGTATGCAGCCGTCCCTGCCACCGCACTCCGTGATCCTGGTGGCTCAACTGACGCAACGAAATCAAAACTGAGCAGCTCGTCTTTGACACTCTTCGAGCTACATCCTATCATGTGTAGATCAAATTTGTAAGCTCTGGCTTCTTGGAGGCATACCTGGCGCACCGTGCCCAACCTCAGACCTTGGGTTCCCACAGAGCCATGTGCCAATGGTCCGGGATCGCTGTTTGTGGGTTGGCTTTCCGAAATCTTCCCCCCTTTGGAATCTATCCCATATGCTACGCAGAGGCGCCCGAAGGGGCGGCCGAAAGGAAGCAAGACGACGAGATTCCGGAGAGATAAGGGACCCGGCAAGTCAATTAAGGCATTAGGGTCACGCCGAACGAAGCAGTATCCTTTCTCGTCGGCCGGAAACCCCGATGATATTTGGGTGGATGTCGATGAAACTGCGGGAGCTGGCGAAGACGTCGCCGAAAATGAGTCCGTTGTCATGCCATCAGACCCCCGACCACAAGTTCTTGCTCCCAGTCTGCACACATCAACTCGAGGTGCGGCAAATCTGCCGACACCAAGGCGCAGGGGTCGGCCCAAGGGATCCAAAAATCGCCCGAAGGTATCGGCTATCTCCAATTCAGCGACCTTTGTGAGCCAAGAGACCACCAACCTGGCTGCTTCTGCTCCCCTTGAAGATCATCGCGTCGAGCATCAAAAATTAGTATCAACCATCAAAAGGCCCGGCCCTGGTCGACCTAAAGGCTCCAAGAATAGACCAAAGCACACCGATAGTAGCAATGTGCAGTCAGCGACCAAGAGTAACGAGCTTGGCAGCGCGCATCAGTCGGAGTCCTCCGTAGGTCTCGTTTTTCTACACGATGATCGACAGCGTCCTACAGAGTCCCTTGTGCGGGACGCTTCATTCGTAGCAAATGCGTTCCAACCACCGAGCCTCGCAGGCCACGACGCACCCACAAAGACCCGCCCGAAGCCTCTAAAGAGAGGGAGAACAGGATCATTTCAGGATGTTGAAAACCTCGCCGAGTTCGGTGACAACCTCACTATCGCCGAGCAATCAATGTGTCCCGATGGTACTCCTGTGATGCAAGAGCCATCTCATCCACTGCGCACTGGCCTTCCTCCACAAAACGCCGATGGTCCGAATCGAAAGAGGTACAGACATTCCAGGGTCACCCAAGACCAGCCAGGTTCGAAAAGACATGGCTTAGCTACGAGCCATGAGCAATCCCTCGATGTCCAACTTCCTAGCAGACCTGATCGAAACCAGTACCATGCATCATACAGGCATATACAAAACACTTCAGGCTTGGATAAGGACCCCGGCGATGAGGAAACCTCACACAACCGGTTAGGGGTAGCTTATGGCCATGTGCGACCCCACCTACAATCTCCGGGTCGTGCACAGCAGCATCGATCAGCCATTCCGCAGGAATATCGTACGGATAGGCCAGGCTTGCCTCAACCTATCCGGCCAGGGAGCTACCATTTGGGGCGAGTAACTCAAAACTTGCAGCGCGATTTCCAAGTCGACAGTACGGAACTGAAAAACCCATCCGCTATGGACAGCAACACTCACAGCACTGCAAGCATGTCTGCCAGAGCTTGACCAGTCCTGGGCAGCTGTAAAACAACGCCCAGTGTCGCGAAGCCTCCTACACCCAGGAATCATATCTCCCAGGATTGCGGGGCCCATATTACTGTCGCATCTACGACACCAAAATCACAGTTTGGGCCGCGTGGCGGGCTCTGTGTTGTCATCAGAAGCTGACTACCGAAGCCACGGAGTACAGACCTCTGCACAGCAACAGACCAATGACTTTCAAACTCAAAACCGTAGGCAACACGTGTCCCATGCTCGAGATTCAAGAGGTTCAGCCTTTCTCAACTTTGCAGGCGCGACATTTACCGGCCTTGGACGTTCCGAGGCAGCTGGCACATACGCAACGATAGAAACAAATGAGCCGTCCTATGCCGCTAGTAGTCACTTGCATCATGGGGTGTCACTCTCCTTGCCGGCTCCCTTGGCTTCTTACACGGGGGCAAAAAACCACGGAAGCTAAAAATCACGGATTTGAATCCAGCATAGCGGGCCAGGGCGTAACGCAAGAACGCACGGGGGTGGACAAAACAATACTGTCTAGCTTCCTTTTAATTTGGATGGTACTCCGTGCTAGTGGCCTGCCGCGTTTTCTATCAGATACCAGTTTTGAATTATACCCACTGCAACTCAATCCTTGCTTCGGAGCGAGATTTGATGACGACACAGGTGAACAAAGTAACGTTGTTAATGCAAGGTATCTATCCAAGGGGCTGGAATCCCCCCTCCGCCATGATGCTAATTGATCCCGACTCCATGGCCTTATATCCTTGGCCGCTTTCCTGAAACGATTCCACCTCAAACGCCCAATGAATGCGAA